ATGTTGTAACTGTTAAAAAAAATCTGCAAACTATATTTTTTAATATAAAGTCTTCACTAATTGATATAATCAACAAACTAAACAAAAATATGAAAGCATAGCAACGTCTTGTAAGATTTAATAAAAATATTACAATACATAATAAGTTAACAACTCGTCATTACTCTTCATTTCAAGGATGTTTTATATCAAAATCAGCGTTATAGGTTTGTGAGCAACTCGCTGAACCACCAATATTAAATGCCATTTCTGCAGTAGAAATTATGTGACGTGCTCCGCTACCAAACGCCCTTCCAGTACAATTATTTCTCGTGTGTCCAATTTGACCACATGTAGAACACTCTTTTATAATTGGACCCTCGCCTTGGGATGGAATGCGGTCTGTGTTTCTTGGCCTGCCTGGCTGACGTTTATCCATTATTGGTGGCTTAACAATCATCAAATCATCGGGGATCTCCCATTCGGATGGCTTTGGCAGAGGGTTTATTGATTCCTCATATGTTTTCCTCAGTGTTTCGGTAAAGTAAGCATTTAATGCATACCTCGAGCAGTCTTCGTAATTGTTCACTGTTAAACATCTTATGACATGACCACAAGGTATCCCATCAAGTTGCCAATGCCTACATGTACATGTCATATGTTTGAAATCAACAATCACATTTTGTGCCCCCTTTTTTACCTCGCATTTCGTATTTGAGATCATGCGAACATCCCATTTGCTAAAACTTTTCTTGTTCTCTTTTACAATTTCATCCGCCCAAGGGGTAAGAATTGTTGTTGCTTCCGCTAAAAAAAGAGCCAAAATGAAGAAGTTAAGATCAATAACATCAAAATTAATAAAACATTAATATTAAAAATTTACTTAATACCTGCAAAGTTACGTCTTTGAAACCACCATTGTTGCATTGTAGCACGAAAAAAATCGATCAACATAAGTATTGGCACCTTACGTGCGTGTCTAGATAATGCATTTATAGACTCCGCACTGTTGGACGACATAAGATTGTATCGGTTCCCTTTAAAATGTGCTCTGGACCAAGTTTCTGGATTTATACTTTTCAAATACTCCCATACTGGTTCTTTTGTCTTTTTCATAACATCCATGGTGGCATCAAAAGCATCAACTGTGTACGCCCTACACACCTCCCAAAAAATTCCTTTAACCGTCTTACTCTTGCCGAATCTAGAGACTATGTTGAAATACAAATGGACACCACATATTCCATGATGAGCGTGAGGAAAAATGTTGGCAACGGATGTTGCTATAGATGGAGACCTATCAGATATAATTGTAAGCTCCTGCATATTTCCTATGCAATCACGTAGTTTTTGAAAAAACCATGTCCAAGAATCGGTACACTCATTTTTGCATATACCATATGCAACCGGTAATATTTGGTTTTGTCCATCCTTAGTAACTGCAAGTAACATGGTACCTTTGAACTCGCCCTTTAGGTGAGCTCCATCTACTACTAGGGTCGGTTTACAAAAATTGACAAAAGCGCGTACCTACAATACATTGTATATCTATTCAAATACACCAAAATAAAAATTAAAAATTAACATCTGTTTTAATATGTGTGACAGTAACCGGATTATGTTTGGCCAAGTTGTGACAATACGTCGGAAGTTTGGTAAAAGAATCCTCTTTCGAACCCCTTAACGACAACAATGCATATTGCTTCGCACGCCATGCCTGATGGTATGAGATATTGATATTCAATTGAGCATTCATATCATTAACAATTTCTTTTCCCCGATAAACTCTACTATAGTCTTCAGCCAAAACATCAGCAACATATTCACCCAAAACATATTTGTTTGCTTGTCGATGATTAGGTTGCAACAATGTTGAAGAACATGTGTGTACATCAACAAATTTATTCACTTGGAAAAGACCATCAGAATTTTTAATTGCTTTTGCTCTTAGTAACCAAGAACAATTTTTCGAAACACACACAACTTCATACCTTGATTTGGTGGATCTACTTGTCCTCGTCTGGAAACCTTCTCGAAGACATTTTTTACCAATACACCGCTTTAAAAGTTCTTTGTTCTTAAATATACTCTCACATTGAATCTTTTGAAGATTCATGTCTACCATCTGTGTTGGGATATCTTCATTAATATCAACTGGCCATGCTGGTACAGGGGCATACCGTGAAAAAGGTTATCGGGAAACTTAGCTTTAACTTCATCACCCAACTCATCTCTATCGGAATTGCTTTGTAGCTCGCTTATATCTAAACATACATCACCAACATCAACATAATGCCCGTAAACATGATTTTTTTTCATTTTTTTGACTTGATTTTTTTTCTTTTTAGTTTTATCTACCACACGCCTATTCATAAGTTTAACTTCTTGTTCGGCAACATCATCACAACGACCACCCACATGATTAAGATATGCACCAACATCATCATCACCAACAGACTTGTAATTCTCAGGTTCCACATAGTGAATAGGTGAATAACTAACATTAACATTTTCAGCAACACTGTGAAACTGAGGTACACTAGGAGTATTGAAAGTACCTATCGGATCGTTGCTCCCTTTATAACTGCATAAATTACCAACAACCTGGTTTCCAATTTCACCACCCCCATTAACCTCCTCAACTTCATCAACCACCACAAACACTTTCACACCCTTCCTCCACTACATTTGATTACGTTTATCAACATTCTAACATCCATGTCTTCAACTATAGCTATATAATAATTTAATTCAGGATGGTGGAAACGAAGACTAATTCTATATTTGTCTAACAAACCAATTTTGCTTCTTACCAAAGATACAAAATCACTATAACTAATATACTCAGAAAATATCAAAGCAAGTTCAGAAATACCTCCCTGTGGACATATGTATTCCAGATTAGTTCCATTAACTTGCCATCTCCCACCGGTTACAAGACAAACCATATATTCAATCATTTTTTGAGCAAATTGTAGAGAGAGTTCCTAAACAAATAACAACCAAAATGATATTTTTTCTACAAAACTATTTATATAGCAACCTGATTTCGTAGTCAAAACAAACCATTTCATAGTCAACCTAAAAAAAAAATACAAAAATAACAACGATTTCGCAGATAGAGTCAGAGGATTTCGCAGATGGACCTATTCCATCTGCGAAATTACCCCTATATATACAGCAAAAAATTAAAAAAAAAAATTATTAAAAAAAAAACCACCTGCGAAAGTACAAGCACCTAAAGCACAGTTGTGCTTTAGGCACTTGTACTTTCGCAGATGAGAAGCCCATTTCGCAGATGGGACCTTCTCATCTGCGAAATTAGTGGCTATTTTTGTAATTTTTGATTTTTTTTGGCTATTTTTGTAATATCATTAGTGTAAATGGCTATTTTTGTAAATTTCTCTTAAATAAGTTATATTATAATATCTTCTAGCATCATCTTAAGCCTTCCTTCCATCAAGAGTTTCACCAACCACGAGATTAGCTCTAAAGACTTTTTTTTCTTTTTTGACCTGCACACACCACACCACCCCATTATAAAAATCCATTAACCTTATATTTGAGAAATGTTTATAAACCAATGCTAAAATATGGTAAATCAAGAGTCTATATCTTCCATTTCTTGTTGCTCTTAGCCATTATGTCCTACATTAAAATAAATTTGTTAGAAAACCAGAAACAACACTTTTAAGGCGGAATAAAGATTACCAATATAAACTTAACCAAACATCAGAAATAAGCTTTTTGTTTTGAACTCGACAACAACAAAATAGCACCACAATTAAATTACTTTGAACCTGGCAACATAAAGAATTTAACTCCCTTATTGCCACATATTGTAATTTTAAGAAAATGTCAATTGAGGGTATTTTTTCAGGCATCAGAAAATTTGACACAATTATAATGAAGTCGTGCAACCGAAATTTTGAAAATCCTTATCATTTTAAAAACATAAGTATGCCACTTATGGTCCTTCTCTAGCAAGATTGAAATCTGAAAGCTCGTGTTAGATTTCTCATCCAATTACACATTTGTGGACTTCATATATCACCTTCCAAAAGTAAAAATCTAGAAAGAGATGTCGGTTATTATTGATCAAAAGCCTTTGAAAAAATAGCTTTAGTTAAAAAGATCAACCCAACAAATAATCTAGTAAATGCCAGCAGGATTATGCATCTTAAAATAATCTAACACTATTGATGGAACCTTGTCCCTCGTAAGACCTTGCTTCTGCTTCACAGATGAAATCTTCCTAGTTGCCTTGTTATCACTGCAAGATCACAGAGAACAAGGGATGTCAGTCGCTTTCCGGGAGGGCCTCCCGGAAGAACGCTCTAACGGTCAAGTTAGGGGATGATTTAGGGTTTGTGTATGCGTTCTCTAGAAGGGCCAGAGAACTTACCTCGCTGGTCTGAGAGTGCATCCTTTATACCTAGCACTCCTGCTTGGTCCGTACCAGACAGGATCGCTTTTGGGGAGACAAGATCAGAGGCGCTGATTGGAAGGTCGTGCGCCCTCAACCGCTAGAGCGCTCTCATTGGCTACGACGGTAATGCTCTAATCCTACTATTTTTCTCCTGACCGTACCTTTTATCTTGGAGCAAGGAGCGTCACTTGGTGGGCGCGAGCCTTCCGCCTGGGCTTTTCGCTCCCAAGGGCGCCAGCGGGCGCTGAACCTGTTGGGCTGGGCCTGGCTGGTGTGCCGGGCTCTACGGCTTGGAAGCGGCTTTGTTGTGCTGCCCTAGGCACACCATCAAGTCCCTCAGTCCAGTAGCCGTAGCGTTGCAGCGCTAGTTACGGCGTTCTGGACTTAATTGATTGATGCGTGTTCGTTTTCCTTTATCCGCCACTCCATTTTTAATGGCGACGTGACTACGCGTCACTACTGGCAGTTACGTCACTATGTCAGACATTTAAATGTCCCGATTCTTCCGCTTCTTTAAGAGGGTACTTGCACAGTTTCTTTCGCTTCATCTGTTCCTCCCTTTCTCTTCGTGCTCGTCCTTTTTTCCCCTTTCATGGCTAACCTTCCCGGAATCATCCCTTCTGCTGCCGAGTATCGACAATTGGAGACCACCTATGGCTTATCCTCCTTAGAAGGTGTGGAATTTCCCTCTCCTGGCTCTAGCATCTCTTCCCCTCCCCCTGGAAAAATTGGGGTTTCCCTAAAAACCCTGGACGTCGATATACGATTTCCCCTGACGGACTTTCAGGAGGAAGTCCTTCAAAAGGATGGTTGTAGTCTTCAGATGTTGACCCCCAATGTTGTCAACAAAGTGGTTGCCTTCAAGATGATCTGTAGGGTAAGCGGGTACCTTCTCGACTACTTTGTCTTCAAGTTCTTCTTTCGATTTTGCATCACCGGAGACAAATCACGCCGTAGTTCCCGATGGGCATACCCCTAAGAACTAGCAGGATAAGTGGTTATGGGTGAATCAGGAGCTGGTTGGAAGTGGCCGCTACCGTGCTAATGCATTCATTGATACCGTTCGTAAGCTTTTCCCCCACAACCAGGGTGTTGCCGATTATCTGAAGAGTGTGCAGGTATCCGTCGAGGATTACTCTGAGGCGCTTCTTTATGCGGTGGGGATGAGTCCTTCTTGGAGGCAGCGTGGCAAGATGGCGGTGTTCTTCTCCGTCGTTGATGGTCAGTGCAATATCGTCCCCCTTTTCTTTTCTTGTTTCTCCTTGTTGCTTCCGTATTTTTAATATTTCCATTCTGCTTTCCACCAGGCACTGAGTCTTCTTTGTCTATGGACGAGGTGCTGCGTAAGCGCTATCAGGGCAAACTGGAGTTTCGTGAGGTAGACTTGGTCGACAGCCTTCCCCCTCCTCGTCGGGCAGACCGGCTTTCTCTGACCATTGCTCCTCCTGTTCCTCCAGTAAGCTCATCGGCGTCAAGGAGGATCCGTTTCACGCTCGCCCCATCTCCTCTGTCATGCCCCTGGGCGGCGTTCTATCTTCCTCCCAGGAAGACAATGAAGATAGCAAAAAAGATACCATTGCTGATGTTCGGAGGATGCAGGCGAAACGGAAAGCTATGCAAGCCATGGGTGAGCCGGTTATTGGTGCTCCCCCTGCCACCAAGAGAGTGCATACTAGGCGCAGCTTTTCTCGCCTGCTGAGTTCGATGAGTTCCACACCAGTGAGTTCCACATCCACTGGCGTGGTTGTGATTCCCGATGATGATGCGCAACAGTCTGAGGGAATCAACAAGGCGATTGAACAGCCCATTATTTCATATTTTTCTTTCATTCCTTCTCCCACTATTCCGTTTGTTCCCTCCAAGCTTTCTCTGACGAAGGGCTTTGGCCCCCATGGATTAGTTACAGTTTCCAAAGATGGTGGCCCTGGTGATGGTGCTTCTGGGTCTACGATTTTTGTACCATCTTAGGATCTTCGCAACAATTCTTGTCTTTCTGTGCGTGCCAATACTTTGGAATTCTCGCGCCACGCGTTCCCTCCAGTTGCAGTTGGGGATACGGAGGCGATGGGTAATCCTGCCCTTGCTCACAATATGGCTTGCGTTGCTGCACAGACCATGTTTTATCTTGTTGTAGGTTCCCGACGTATCCATACCCTTGGCGAGATGGAGGCCACACATGCCACCTTTGGATCGCGTGTGGCTAGTTTGGAGCATCGGCTGAGTGAGCTTGGTGATGATCTTCGTTCTTCTGAGAAGAAATGTGAGTTGCTAGCATCCGAGAAGAACATTCTTGACGAGGCTAGGGCTGCATTGGAAACCAAGGTTGACTCTCTCACACAAATGAATGAAGGTTTAATGATCCAATTTGAAAGTCTTGAGCGCGATGCTATCGATCGCGACAAGATTGTATCGTCACTGCAGTCAGATGTGGACACTGCTCGGTGAGACTTGGATTGGTTGCACGTTGGCGTTGTTCGTATTATTGATAAACTGATAGAGCACCCTGACTTTACCAATTCCATCAGTCTTATCCGCCATGCTGCATACATGGCTGGGGTTGAGTCTGTTCAGAAGACTTCAGGTGGCGGTGGTAGTAGGGAGGCGTTTACTGGTGCGTCGTCTATTAGTATAAATGATGCTCTTTTGTCCTTCGCTAGTATGGATCATGCAATTCTGTTAGGTTTTGGGGAGGTGGGTATTGAAGGTTTGCGGGATTTATGCTCCTTTGGTGGTTCAGAGAGTACGCCTAAGAGTATTGTGGGTCGTGAGATGGTGCTGGTGACGAGTGCTGACATGGAAGGTGATGGTAAGGATCATGGGTTTGGTGGTGGTGGTGAGCGTGATTTTGGGGAGAGTGTTGGTGATGGCAATGTTAGTAAGGTAGTTGTGGATGATGGAGAAGGCGATGGTAGGGTGGTTGGGGAAAATGTTGGAAAGAGTGTGGGGGGGGGGGGAGGCTGTGGCAAGTGAGAAAGATGTTCGTGGGGATGGGCTGGAGTCGTAAGATTTCTCTCTTTCTGTTAGGGGTTTTTTGGTAGCCTCTTAATTGACAAATTAAGAGGCAACCTCTTAATTATTCAGATTAAGAGTGTTTGGTAGGCTATGAATTAAAGCCTCTTAAACTTTCAGAAGCCTCTTAAAGTTTCAGACTTGGGCTTGCATCTGAAAAATAAAAAGCACGCGTCCTTCTCTCTTTTACCCTCAGCGTTGTTGATATGCCCGCCTCCAAAACAACACACCCCCTTCAGATCATCTCTTCCGTCTCCGGCTCTCCTCCTACCTCTGACCATGTTAAGCACCAATCACCTCCTTCGTCATCGACCTCCCTGAAATCGACTCCCACCACGACTTCCAACGCTTGGATCCTTCTCTTTCATCCCACCTCTTTTCTTACCTCTCCGCCTTAGGTCCCTCTGGTCATGGTGGTTTGAGTTGTGTTCCTCTCCGGAAATCTTCAAGTTCCGGTATTAGTTCAAGATCGGATCCTCATGGTAAACGCCCGATGCAGACTTATGATTGATTTGTTTTTGAATTCTAGGAGGTAGGCTCCGACAAGATTCCTCCTTCTCCTTCATCCCACCTCTTCTCCTACCTCTCCTATCAATAATTGTCTGCACCCTCCCTCCGAAATTGACTTCGCCCCCAGAACCTGCGCTGCCTCCGCCAGCTTCCACTAGCACCGCAACAAAGACAACCTCCTATTGCAGGTAAGTTTGTTTTCATGGCTTGTTCTTTTTTCCCCTAAAAACCGATTCTTAGAAATACATGAATTTTTTTGCTCTAGAACTCAATTATCTGTCCTTGATTTTGATTTTCTTTGTATTTCATGCCCGATCTTGTATTGGATCTTCATATAATACATGTATTTCTTTCTAGATTTGTGTCTTAAATTGTCTGTATTGAGGTTCTAATTAATAGTATCAAGGTGTTACAAAATATAAACATTGATTGAAATCTTAATATAGAATATGATAAAACAACCAATTGTTTGGTCAATCCGAAATATACCACACAAATACATATGTTTGGTGAATGAAACTGTATATTTGAACTCTAAAACTTTGAAAAATCGAGTTTGAAAAATATGTTGATACATAATTGATGGTGTATCATTATGTAACAATTATGCATGAACTGTGTGTGAATTGAAAGTAGATTAGACAATTGGAGTTTTTGACAATTTATTCGATTCTAGCAACATACTTTGAAAAGTTGTGATGGATTTGGTATGCAATTTCTATATATATGTTTAAAGTGATTTTTGGAATCACTTGAATTTCAACCTAAACCTACAAATGTAAAGATCATTCATTCAACTCTAAGTTAATGATTATATAACTTGCTATTGAGATTAGTTGTTTCCTTGTTGAATTTGGATATTACAGGTCAAAATGTTTGAAAGAAAATTTTGAGAGGCTATCATGTACTTTGATGTAATGATGGAGAAGTAAAGGAGTACAAATCAATCATCAATAGTTCAGTTGCAAGTTCCATGTCATTTATGTTTCATCATTCAATGTCAAATATGTTATTTTTTAACTTTGAAATCCTTGGGATATAAACAATGATGTTAGTTTTGTAAATATATGTCAAAAAATCATTATAAATTGTTGAAGATAAATTTTTGTTTATGTTAGTTTTGATTTTGTATGTTTTTTATAATTATTTAGTAAAAATTAAGACAAAAGGGTAAAATGGTTATTTTTATAATTCAGCACAATAATTCAGAGGTTCCAACCAAACAGCATGTTAAAATTCAGATCTTAAAAATTCAAACCCTCTTAGAAATTCAGACCTCTTAAAAATTCAGATCTTAAAAATTCAGATCCTGCCAAACAGCCCCTTAGTTTAGTATGTGATGTTTTTCCTTGTAATCTTTGAACTTCTAAAATAGTATTTCGCTTTCCTCGATGTATATTTGGCCTATTTTAGTCATTATCTATTGTCTACCTATTTTGTTTTGTGTTTGGCTTGCTCGTTTACTGCGCACTATTCAGCATATATAGCGCCTTGATGCGCTGGGCACTTTGCTTTGCCCTTGCTACCATTGACACACTAAGTGTCCATATTGGACGTACTTAGCATCCATGGTTGGATTTCGCATGTAATCATTCAATCATTAGACTAATACGCTAAGTATATAAAAATCAGCAATTGCATTATTATTTCATTAACCACGGGTTTTTTGAATACATTAAGTGTTGAGCTCATGACGCTTAGCATAGTATTTTTAAATACACTAAGTATTGGACTTATGTCTCTTAGCATGGAATTATATATACACTATGTATTGAACTCATGTCTCTTAGCATGGAATTTTAAATACATTAAGTATTGGACTCATGTCTCTTAGCATGGAATTATATATACACTAAGTATTGAACTCATGTCTCTTAGCATGGAATTTTAAATACACTAAGTATCAGGTTCATGTCATTTAGAATGAACAAATATACTCTAAGTATTCGGGGTGCAATACACTCACTGAGACGTCAACCAACTGGGGTTACCTCCCTTTCCTTCCTTTCCTTTCCTTAGAAAAAATATTTGTTTAAGTTGCTAGCATTCCATGTTCTTGGAATGGGCCTTCCTTCCATTGTCTCTAACACGTATGCATCGTTCCTATTTGCCTCCGTGACTCTGTATGGGCCTTCCCATGTTGGGCCCAACTTTCCTTGAGGTTGGGCTCGGCATGCCTTGTTTTTCCTTAAAACATATTCGCCGACTTTGAAGGCATTCTTCTTTACCTTTTGGTTGTAATATCTTTCTGTTGCATGTTTATATGTGACTTGGCGTACACTCGATTCTTCACGCTTCTCCTCTAGGATATCTAGGTTTATCCTCAGGTCTTTTAGGTTGCTTTCCTCATCCTTGTTGGCCACCCTCAGTGTGTTCATTGCCACCTCCATGGGAAGCATGTCTTCGGTTCCATACGTCAAGCTGAAAGGGGTTTCCTTTGTGCTTTTCCGTGGTGTAGTT